ATGTTAAGAACTTTCCTCGAATTCACAAACACTCTGAAATGTTCTTACTGGTGCCTCCGGTACGATTGCTAAGCAGTACCACATGCCGTTTCCAAATTACTGCTGGGGTGAATTGGCTCATGGTGCTGTTTTTCTCGCAGCTGGCACTATTATATTATTCAGTCGGCAACATAAAAAAACAACACGCATGCGCGGAATTAAAAATTTAAAATGGGGACAATTTACCCATCGCAACTTGAAAGATCCTGGCAATTATTCTAATAAGGTTTCTGAAAGTTTCGTTTTATAATGTCTTTAATAATCACCATGAAATTAAACGCAGTGACAAGTGAGTAAGCGGAAAAATAAATGTTTATGCCAAATAAATGAGTCATTCATCATGAGGTAAAGGATTTCTAGTGATATAAGTATACGTATATATTTTAGCTCATATTTTAACTACAGGAGCGAATATTCATTCGTTTTATCTCATAGGAAATACTAATATAACAATAATGATATCTTTTAATCTGTATTACCCATGAAAGGCACTAAAGCCACTAAGACACAAGGGTTTGCAAGGTATGGAAGAATTAGGAACAGAAACATTAATAATGAGCGAGAAGAAGAAAGAGAAATCAGGCGATTGACATTGCATATAAATTTTTGAAGATTAAAATTGGCTAGATAACATGGAAGTTCTACAAACGATAAGCGCAAGAAAACACACTGTTAGCGTCAATTTACGGATACATCTAGCCAGCTCAACTGTAAACTGCTGAGATGTCGACACCAGTTTCGTACGGCGCTTAATTTTAAAAAGAAGTCTAGGTACAATACTATTTACATAATTTAGACCATTTTACCATTCTCACCTTTGTTGCTATGTTTATCACAACATTTCAGCCGTCGTACGCTCCGGCCTTCTTCAGGTGGTTGGAATGGACCCCTTTATTTCGCTCCCTGGGGTAGACTGTTCTAGTTCCACGTACCGTGTCTAATGGATGTCATTTATCAGTTATCTCCTGTTAATTCCCCTCTCCAAGTTCTCCACCGTGTTAAACATGTACTGAACTCACACCCTTTAGATCCTGTCAGTGGATCTAACTAATGTCTTTATCCACTGTACCATGTGTCCATATATAGAAAAGACACAGAGAGGCAATTTTACGGAGGTCAGAAATTGACTGAAGCCAAGCCGCAATGTCGTATCCAATAATATTACTGGCATTATAACAAG